GGTAAGGAGAGGAGGATTGTCGAGCCCAAGAAGGGGGCTCTCTCAAGCGGTCAGCACCGCCTGGGTGTGGGGGACCCGGGCAGACAGATGGTCAGGTCAGCACAGGAAGGAGTCAGGAAACAGGTCCCGAAGGAGATGGGCTTCCCAAGGCACCAGGATGGACACAGGGCTGGTCTCAGACTCCACCCCCTCCAGTCTAGCTTCCTGATGCCGGTTGCCTGTCACTGCTGTGTGCTGCTCACAAACCATCAGTAGCTCCCCGATGCCTTTATCCCAAAGTCCACGTTCCTAAAGACTTCCAGGAGCTGGCCCCACCCCACTCAGGGCACCCTGATTTCCGAAACTGTGCCAGGCGCCCCCTATCACCGCGGCCGCCGCCACCGTGCACTTTTGGGAAACTGCCTGCTCTACTCCACCCTGTCTACCTCCCTCAGTCTCCACGACCACCTCCTCCATGGAGCCCTCCGTCTTCCTCCAGTTGTCATCGGCCCGCCACTTCCGAGTCTCCGTGTGTGAACTGCCACGCGCTGGCTCCCGGCGCTGGCGCAGTCTGGCTTCACTGGCTCAGGGTGAAGATCGACATGCCGCTGGGGTGTGCAGGGCAGTACTCGTGTCCTCGCAGGTGAGAGGTGCGCAGGTGAGGGGCCAGCCGGAGCAGCACTGAAGAGCGGACTCGGGAATCCACCCTGCCCTTCCTAGCCGTGTGACCTTGAGAAAGTATCCTGAGGCCACAGGCCTCAGCTTTCCCATCTGTAATATGGGACTGATAGTACTACCTTCCCCATAGGACCTGGAACTGCCTCTCTCACCCCCTGGCTAGTCCCTAAGAAGTTGTGTAGCCTCTCAGAGCCCAATGGCCTCCGCCCCCCAAAGCAGAGGGAAGGGTACCTGTCCCAAAGATCCTCTGGGCACCTTGCTAGGAGTCCCGCACAAAAACGTGCCAGATATTGACACTGCCGATTGGGCAGACTGTGCATGGGGAAGATTGGGAGGCGGTTGAGGCTGCCAAACCATTATTGAGATGAGGAGGAGACCCCGCCAGTGGCCACCGAGCCGGTTAGAGATGTCCTGTGGGCCTTTGTCCGCCAGCAAAACCAGCTTGATATTGAAGTCTAGCGGGAGTCCGAGGGCCGGTGGATGGGAGAGGCAGGTGAATGGGTGGCAGAGAGGGTCTGTGCAGTGGCTGGGGCTCAGGCTGCCGTCAGCACCCGGAGCAGCCCTGGGCTGTAGGGGCCTGGCCCTGTGTCTTGCCTACAGTCAGCTGCGGGTTCCTGTGGGAGGCGGGCCCTGGAAGCAGCTGGTGGTTGTCACCTGCCGGGGCCTGTTAGAGGGCCCCCTAGTGGGACCTGGAATGTGGTGAGTCTGGAACCTGAAGGGAGCCCAGGGGGAGCCTCTGGCTCTGTGGCTGCTCCAGACCATCTCAGTGGAAGACCTCTTGATGGGTGAGTTCCTGGGCTGCAGGGTTGGGAAGTTTCCAGAAAGATAAGCTACCCAAGGCAGGAGGGGAGCCAGGGCTCTGGGCGTCCAGCTGGCCCAAACCAGCTCTTCGTGCGAATCCTCTGAGGCTGCCAGGGCTGTTCCTAGAGATGCAGGGCTGGCGCCTGCAACAGGCAGAACCCTGGGGCCACCCGCACCACTCAGCAGCATGCAGATGGTGCCCTCAGCATGGGCCACGGCGGGGGCAGCTTGTGAAAGGCGGGTTTATGAGGACATGGTCTGGGGCAGAGAAACCACAGGGACGGGGCCATCCCTGGCGATGGAGACCGTGGGATGTTTCCAGTCCTAGGGCTAAGGAGGTGAGAGGATGAGATCAGAGATGTTGCTAAGACCCCGAGACACAGCCAGTGTATGCAGGGAGGGGCCGGAGCCCCCAGTCTCTGTCCCCTTTCTCTCCAGTCTCCCACCGCGTTCCCATGGCCAAACCCACAGGAAGCCAGCCAGAGTGGGAGCCCATTGATGCAGGCACTAAGGCTAGCCCCTGGGTACAGAGCAAGGTGGGAAAGGTGGAGGGGACCCCCAGATGCCCAGCTTCCCGCCAGAACCCCCAGAAGGCTTGGGTGCACGCATTCAGCACTCCCAGACAGGCCGGGCCACGAGAGGGTGCTGCTGTGGGAGGAGCCATTTTCTTAGCCCTGACTCTGCATCCTGGCAGCCTGACTTGGGCAAGCCTTGACCTCCCTGAGCCTGATCTGGAAACTTCACTGTGTCCAACCCTGCTGGGACTTCCTGTGGCCCCAGCCCACTGGCCAGCTCCGCCTTGCATCTTTCTCTCTGGGGTTCTGCTTGGCTTGGCCTCTCTCTCTTTCAGTTCCTTCAGACTCACATGCTATCCCTGACAGACCTCTTGCACCTGCAGCTTCCCCAGCCCAGAGCTTCCCCAGCCCGGAGGCTCTTGTCTTCTCTGCCGTGCAGGCCTCAGGCCATTACCACTTCCTAGGACATCTGCCAGCCCCACCCCATGCCTGCTTTTCTGTAGCACTGAAGACGGTTGTATCAGTCAGGGTTCTCTAGGGAAACAGACCCCATAGAGTATAGGTGTATGCGTGTTAAGAGATTCATTTTCAGGAATTGGCTTATGTACTGTGGAATGGGCAGCTTCAAAATCCGTAGGGCAGGACAGCAGGCTGTAGACTCAGGCAGGATTTGATTTCTCTGTTGCAGTTTTGAGACAAAATTCCTTCTCCGGGAAGCCTCAATTTTTGCCCTTCCGGCCTTCAACTGATTAGATGAGGCCCACCCACATTTTGGCGGATCGTCTCCTTAAAGCCAACTGATTATAGATGGCAACCACATGGATTAAATGCCTTCACAGCCACACCCAGACTAGAGCTGGATCAACCGACTGGGCGCCATGGCCTAGCTGAGTCGGCCCACAGAACTGATCCATCTCAGCCTTTCTCAATTCTTCGTGTGAGCCCTTAATGATCTCAGCCTCTGCCCTGCTCTGTAAAGTTAGGTTTCAGGAGGGCAAGGATGAAGGCCATTTACTTTCTCTAACCGTTGTTTTGCCCAGCACTGGACAGAGCTGCTGCTGCATACCCAGAGGGCACAGTAATGGTTGCGTGAGAGAATCAAAGGGAGAGAGAGAATCTGCAGAGGGAGTGGCGGGGTGCAGAGCAGAGGGGGGTGTCTGTCTGGTGCACGGTAACTGCGTGGTAAGCGCACCGCTTCGCACAGGCCGCGCCTTCATCCTGAACCCCGCCTCCTCCCCCCAGCGCACACACATGCTTCTTAGTTGCCCAAATGTACGCTGACACCAGGGCAAGGTGAAATTTCCTCAACATTAATGATGACAACCATCGTTTACTGAAGGTCAGGATCATTCTGGACACTTTTCTAGGTCCATAAACCCTTAGCATTGATTCTGATGCATGTTATACATTCAGTACTCTAGGTAACATTCTTATTACGTGGGGGCTACCTGTTATGGTCCGTTTGGAAAGTGACCGTCAGTGCTAAGCACGTCGTATGCATTAACTTTTTTTCTCTTAGCGGAGTCTGGGGTGAGCAGGGGCTGCCATCGTCGTCCCATTGTACAGAGGAGGTGCTGAGGCCCAGAGATGAGCACTGGCCTAAAGTCCTGAGGTGCCTCCGTGTCACTGCCGGACCACAGGGTTGCTGGCCCAGGGCGGGGGCTGTCTCCTTTGTCCCTCGTCCCCTGGGAGGCACAGGGAGGAGAGAGGCCTCAGGGTCAGCGCACCTGCTGGCTGGGTTAATTAGAGACCTAGTTTTTCCTCTGGAAGGAGAGAAGCAGCCACTCCCCACTCTGCAGTGTCCAGGAGCCTGTCACCCCTATTTACGTCTGCATGCCCGGGGCCACCTCTCAGGCCTCACCTCACTGTGGCCAGGTTTCTCTCGGGTGATGTTTTGTGCCGGGAACAGGGTCGGGGTGCAGCGTGGCTGGTCCTTCCTGGCCCAGGGGAGGAACGAGGCATTGAGGGCATCCAGGTCTGGGCCAGGCCGTGGGGATCCAGCTGCCAGCTTTGGGGCTGACTCACAGCGGGTGGAGCTGAGCTGGAGCGAGCCCACCAGGAAGCGAACCAAACAAGCAGGGAGGGCCCGAGCTCGCCCCGAGCCAGCTGCTGAGCTGGGCCCCATGCAGACCCCGTTGGGACTGCCCGGTGGGGCTCCTCACCTCTCCTGCGGCTCAGATGCCAGGTCCAGGGCAGGGCAGACCCCTGGACACCCCCCACTAGGCTCTGCCTCGCCTGCAACTCCTCTTCACCACCTACCAGTGGAGGGTCTTGGGCAGGGAACTTGTCTAAAGGCCCCGCTGGGGCCTTTGTTCCCACCTCTGAAAGATGGAGGTAATCCCCGTTTCCAGCACCACGACTGTCGTGGGCTCAGGCAGTGTGATCTACAGTCCTGCTTAGAATAGGGTCTGCCAGAGAGAACCCTTCCTTCCTGTTGACAGATGAACTATTGCCCTGCAGCTCTCTCAAAGGCAAGGGCGGTGTTTACCCCCCGTTTATGGATGAGGGACTCGAAGCTCGGGCAGCCGAGGTCTCGTCCCTGGGGTCACACTGCCAGGGGCTCAGGACCTTCGGACTTTCCTGCAGGGCCTCACCCCGGGCCGCAGCAGCTGGACCAGCTCCCAGACCTCTCTTGCTCTGTTTGGGCTCAGCCCGCGACACCTTCCCAGCCCCTTCCCGGGGAAGTGTGCAAACAGCCCCGCCAGGGGCAGCCGTGGGAACAGAGCGGTTCTGTCTCTGAGGCCAGGCGTGTCGTGGAATCTGGGGCCTGGCTCCCCTCTCAGCTCTGGCGCCATATCTCTGGGTCATTGGACAAGTCATTTCCCCTCTCTGAGCTCAGCCTCCACATCTGTGAGCAGAAATGGGGCAGAAATGTAGGGGTGGGGTGTTGGCGCTCCATGCGGGAAAACAGAACCCGCGACAGTAATAACACCCCACACTCCGGAGCACTCGGGGTGTGCCAGGCGCCACTCTACACAATTGACCTACCTTGACTCATGTTTTTCTCGATCCAACCCTGGGAGGTAGGTACCATTCTTATCCTCGTGCTACGGACGAAGAAACCCGAGGCAGAAACTTTAAGCCGAAGGATTGGATTCAGGGGCTCTGGTGCTTGCAAAGTTGTTGGAAAGGTGACAGGAGGGAAGTCCTTGTCCTACTACTCCAGGCCGAGGTCCAGAGGCTGGGAAACTACAGGAAGCCAGCTCGGAGGTGAGGGAGGCAGGTGGTTCTGGGTCCAGCACTCGGAGCACGAAGCAGCCTCCACCGCGGTGGGAGGGAGGACGGCCCTGCCTCACTTTGGCCAGTCCAACGAATTGCAGCTGCATCCAGAGCCCTCTGGGCAGGGGAAGCCCGGAAATGTGATTTCCAGACTTTCAGGCCCTGCAGTAGGGGAGAGGGCACAGAGGAGGGATGGAAGAGTCCTCACTGCTGTAGACTGTATCCAGCCTAGGGGCCTTGCAAGCTGCAAGAAACAGGATGTCCTAACGCCCCCAGGGGCAGACGAGGTCGGCACTCTGAGCATTAACCTTTGCACAGAGAACTTGGGCCACATGAACTGCACATACTCTGCTAACCTCTAGCCCCTTCATTACTTAGGGGTCCCTTCCCTGCAGGTTCTCAGAGGTCATGGCCAGTAGAACAGGAAGCAGTCCCTGGATGGATGGAAGCAACTCATGGAGCAAGGTGGGATCATCATTGTCCTAATGCCCCTTGGTGCTTTCATGCCTGATTTCATTTGTTCTTTTAAATAACCCTGCCAGGAAGGCAAGCCGGGGGTCCTGTTGGATTTTTTTTTTTTTTCCATAATGAGGGCCTAGACCTTGGGGAGGGGCAGAGAACTGGCATTTAGAACCAACTCTGTGCCAGACTAGCTGGTCACTTCTGGGCACGTCCTTTAAATCTACCACAATCCTCCAGGTGGGTGCTATTAGTCCCGCTTCTTGGATTCAGAAACCGATATCAGAGTGACGGAGTGCCTTTCCCACGAGCCCACAGCTAGGAATGGGAGGAATCGGGATTTGAACCCTGGTCTGTCTGCGCCATTTTCTTTTCCGACAGCCGTTGACCATGACCCACTAGCAGGTGCCTCACAGAACCAGACTAGGTGGATGCCGCGTGTCTAGCGAACAGGCCAGGGCTGGATAGCAGTTCAGGAAAGAATAGATCTTCTTTGATAGAAAGCTTAAGGTCAGTTCTTATTCCATGCCACCCTGGGCCACCATGTGCAGCAGCCAGGACACCAAAAGCCAGGACATAGTGGGATCAATGATCAGCAGGCTCCTGGATGCTAAATCCCCGTAACTACTCATAGTGTTCTCAGGATGCATTGAGCTGGGAAGTCATCCTTCCGTGTGTCCTGAAGCTGGTGTGTGTGGAGACAAAGTGAAAGCAGATGGAGCCGGGGGTGGGCAGGTGGTGACAGACGAGAGGCTGTGGCTGACGCTCTCCGCCTGTTGATTTGCTGCCTTCCCTCCCACCATCTGCTTGCTTGGCTGGTGTGACGCGTTTTGCTTTGTGTGGCACCTTCGGGGCTTCTCTGGGCCCCGCCCTCTTCTCCGGATTTTCCAAGCTCCCCCCACACCCAGGACTCCATGCCAGGCACCAGGCATCCAGAGAGGCAGAGGAAAGTGAGTGTGGCCTCCACGTCCAGCAGTGGCAGAGGCTTGTAGACCATTTCTCCCACCAAGGACTAAAAAAGCTGAATGAGCTAGAAATCCAGCTCTTTGGAGGCATTAAGAGAACAGCCAAGGCAGCCAGGACTTGAGAGGTGAAGATCCATGAGAGAAGGGAGATGAATGGGAGGCGGAGCCCGATACTCCAGCTCCCTTCTTGCATGAGGGATGTGCTGGCTCGTAGGAGGCTCCAAAAGCAGGCAGAGAGCACGGCAGCTCAGTGCTGGGCTGTCTCACGAGGCTGGGAGTAAAGCAAATTAAATTACATTAAAAATAGAACTCAGGACTTCCGGGTCAGTGCAAACCTAAGCGACCAAGAACCTAGAGCAAAGGGAACCACAGAGAAAAGAGGGAATTCTCTGCATCTCTTCTTCCTTACAAGGCATCTACCAGTATTTCAACTGCCTGGGACCAGAGCCTGAGAATCCAAGCTACAAACAGCAGCGGAGAGACTAAAAGGCTAGACCCAGCTTTTGACAACCTCATGGTGCAGGGGAGATCAGAGGTGAGAACATGCAAGGAGGAGGCGCCTCGGTAGGCATCCCAGCTATCCTTTGAGAAGGGCTGTGGCCTATTAGTGGGGGCAAACCAGAAATAAGTGGGAGCAAATCGGAAATAACCAGTCACTGTGAAAACTGAAGTGTGGCCCCAGTCACCCCGGTACCTGGAACAAAGTAACATGCCCCTGCTCCACCTGCCGACCAGGAGAAAGCACCTTCCTCTCTGAATAAGGACAGCCTGCTCCAGAGCCTCTATGCTTTTGGCTCACACAGTATGCAGCATTACCAGGCATGCCAGGGGACAGAACCAAATGACCAAAGAGAGATAAAGAGAGAAAACAGACAATAGAAATAGACCCCTATGCTATCCAGATGTCACAAGGTGCAGACATAGTCTTTAAAATAACTGTGATGAATAATTTCAGGAAGATGGACAAGGTGGGGAATTTCACCTGAAAAGAACTAGAACTTATAAAAATTTTGCTCAGATGGAAATTCTAGAACTGAGAAAGACAATAACCAAAATGAACGCAATACCCTAATTCACACAGCAGAAGAGGATGTGAACAATGTGGTATCTGTCTCAAGAAATTGGAAAGATGACAGATATCAAGCCCAAAGGAATGACAAGAAAGGAGATAATGAAGATGAGAGCAGGTATTAATGAATTAGAGGGTCAGCTATGGCTACGTAGAAAGATCCGGGAGGAGGCAGAAGCCTGGGTCAGAGTGCTGGCTCTGCCACTGTCTCGCTGTGTGACCTTAGTCGAGTCACTTGCCTTCTCTGAGCTTCAGTTTCGTATGTCAGGGAAATAAGCATGATTATCCATTTTGCCCAGTTGATGTGAGGATCACACGGACGACAGTTGCAGCACCTCCTTATTAGACGTGCTGATGTTACCAGCAGCCCTCGTGCAGGGGACTCTGCAGAGGGCTAGGAGGGCATCCCAGCCTGGGGAGAGTTGTGCACTTGAGCAGGTGTGAACTAAACATTCAGAAACCCATGCTGTTCATTCACCTAGTTTTCCAAGCATTTGAAACAGCTTATCTATCAGTGGCTGGTCATTGCCAACGTCTCCCTGTTGCCCGGGTGGGTTTATCTTTGTTAGGGACCCTCTTTTGAGAAATCTTGACTTTCTGGACCCTTGAAAGGGTGCTAATGTGTGTTCAACATTGTGCCGGTGACCCCGTTAGACTGTCACATACGCATTCTCCATGCCTCCTCCAGGACAGGCGGACCTTGGAGATAATCGTGGGTTCAGTTCCAGACCACCGCAATAAAGTGGACATTGTAATGAAGCGAGTCAAATGAATTTTCTGGTTTCCCACTGCATTCAGAAGTTGCGTTTGGGGCACCTGGGTGGCTCAGTCGGTTAAGTGTCTGCCTTTGGCTCAGGTCATGATCCCAGGGTCCTGGGATCGAGCTCCACGTCGGGCTCCCTGTTCGTTTGGCGGGGAGCCTGCTTCTCCCTCTCCCTCTGCCTGCCGCTCTGCCTACTTGTGCTCTCTCTGTATCTCTCTGTCAAATAAATCAATAAAAAATCTTAAAAAAAAAAAAAGGAAGTTGTGTTTATACTATAGGGGTCTATTAAATGTGCAATAGCCTTTTATCTTTAAAAATCAAGATAGATACCTTAATTTGAAAATCCTTTATTGCCGAAAAGTGGTGTCATCTGAGCTTTCAGCCTGTTGTCATCACCGATCACAGATCATCTCAACAAATTCAGTAATGAAAAAGTTGGAAATACTGCGAGAATTACCAGAATGTCACACGGAGATGCAAAGTGGGCGAATGCTGTTGGAAAAATGCCACGGGTAGATTTGCACGACACTGGCAGGCTTGCCACAAACCTTCTGTCTGTAAAAAGCTCAGTATCTGCAGAGCAGGACAAACAGGATATGCTTGTCCTCCACTCTGTGGCTGCGAGACATCAGCCACTCTGCAGGCGGGACAGGGAGCCCTGTCGTCCCCCCACTTTGTTTTGGGGAGGCGGGGCCAGCCTCCCTCGCCGCACACGTGGCATCTTGGTCTGGGTTCTGTTTCAGGGAGCCAGGGCTGACATTCCCCCAGGTGTTGCAGGCTGCCTCACTTACTGGAGTGCGGGGAAGTCACGCATTCCTCATTGCTTCCCTGGGGCCAGGGAAGGGGGTGGAAGGGTGTTTTTGCTTTTCCACTGCAGCTTATTTCAAAAGGCTTTGAAAAGCACTAATTGATAGCAGCTCAGAAACCTCTGCAGGTCGGTGGGACCCGAGCACGCACTCTGGCCTCAGAGATGCAGCTCCCACCACATGCTGAGTGGACGGGAGGGGGGTGTCACAGTTCTCCTGCCTCTGCAGCCCAGCCTTGCCCTCTGTCCCCACTCTCTCCCCACCCCAGCATCAGCTTAGACCGTGAATACGTCCCTTGCAGAGCCAGGACATTGTCGGGAACCTGACCCCTCGTTCAGAATTGTATTTGGTCTGTGTGGTTCAACAGTCATCTATTTGAGTGACCTTGTCTCTGACCTTGGCATCAGGATGCAGTCAGCGAGAGCGTCTTGGGTTGTGCTCATTACCGAGACAGATGCAGTGAGACCCGTGTTGCCCCTCTGCTCAGACCCTTCAGTGGGTCCCACGTCACTCAGAGCAAACTTAGTCTTGCTTAATGGCTTCCACAGCCCCACGCTGTCCACCCCACCCCACACATGCCTTCTCTTCTCCTTTCCTCTCCTTTCCGTCGATCCAGGGGTACCAGCCTCCTTTCTCCTGAAGGCACCAGGGTCTTGCAGATGCCTACAAAGCTTCCACCTTAGAATATTTCATGATGTGTCCCAATCACCTGTCCCAGAGCCTGGCCCACCACAGGCCCCTAGAAAATAGGTAGTGAGTGAATCAGACAACTAGACAGACTTTGCCCGGTTGACAGCCCAGAAAAGTGGACAGAATCGGTGTTATCCTCATTTTCCAGTTGAAGAAATGGTTCAGAGAGGGCAGGTAATTTGTTCACAGTCACACAGCAAATGGGTGGTGCAGCCTGAGAATCAGAGTCTTCTGACTCTTGGTCTGTGCTTTTCTGCTCACATCTCTCCTCTGAATTGTTGGCCCTTGCCTTTCCCTTCATTCGCTTCTGCATTCCTTCATGCCAGGTGACAGGCGCCCAACAATGAGTGAGACCGAGCTCCTATCCTCATGGGGCTCCCAACCCAGGGAAGAGGCAGATAAGTAAACACTGCTGGCGGAGGGGAAGCCACGTCACCGTGGAAGCCAAGAGAGGACCCTACTCCTGCCAGGAGAGGGCAGGCCTTCCTCCAGGAGTCAGCACCAGCTGATTCCTGAAGAATGAGTAAGAACCAAGCAGGATGGGGTGGACTTTCTGCACAGTGGGGGGTCAGCCTGGGCAGGAGCAGCTGTGACCTGTGGGTCAGTCACATTGCTTCAAGTTTTATATAAGTAATCTGCTTTATGCAATAAAGGGGATTTATTATCTCATGTCATTAAAAATTTGAGGTGTAGGGTGGACTGCAGGTATGGCTAGATCAGGGAGTCAGCACCACTTGTCTCGGCCCTGTTCAGCTGTTACCTCTTCCACATGAGCTATTAAAATGACCAGCACATATTATATGTTGGCTAATTGAATTTAAATTAAAAAGATTACATAGTAAAAAAATAAAATGAAATGGCCAGCACGAGCCTGACTTTTATATGCAAAAATCAAATAGCTAGAACAAAATAAAGTTTCTTCCCTCCCTACAAGTCAGGGGTTTCAGTGTGATTCCATGAATTAGCACACATACCCATCCCAGGACCAAGAGGACTAGGAATCTGCCAGCCAAATTAAATCAGAGCCCACCCTTGAAAATAAGCAGGTTAATCTCACTCCAGTGACAGAGCTGCTTCTTGCCAGAGGAGCAAGGGGTGGCTGGAAAGGATGACCGTGGACACCATTAGGTTATAAATACAAGTCAGGTTGTTTTGAACAATGAGAAATGGAGAAGTGGGTGAATCAAAATGCTCTTGCCAACTGAGCTGAAGAGTTGAGGGAGTAGACGCACATTTGGAGCTTGGGTGTCTCCAGGAAGCACTATGGGTTTAGCCTGATTCTTGAGCACCCCCCTCTTTTCCTACCAAAAGGTAATCAATAACCCTTCAACTGTCACTTTCCTAGAAAAAAATGCATCCTGCTCATTGACATCTACATATTAAGGGTGGGGACGAATTGACCAGACAGAGACTGGGTCGGGGACAGGGGACACATTCCAAGAAAAGATCAAAGGCATCATGCTCAAGTGAAGAGATGTGACCAGCACAAAGGCAGTGTGATCTGGGGGCTCGTGTTATGGACATCTGAGGAGGTGCTCTCTTTGATGGAAATACACTCCCCCTTTCTCTCTGTTCTTCCCACTGAAGACCAGTTGAGAGACGACAGGGTGTTGCTCCCAGAGCAGACCCTCTGCCCCCAGTTCCTGGTGCCCCCTCCCCTCCACACACATGGAATCAGAGGCCTGTGGATTTGGATTCAGGTCCTGCTTCTTCCTTTCCCCGTGACCTTGGGCAAGTCATTTAATCTCCTTGAATCTCAGTTTATTCTGAGGACAAAATGGGGACCCCCTGTCTGGCTGGCAGTCTACTTTGAGGACTGCTGGAGGAAGTAGATGTACATGCATGGCCCATCGTGTCCGGCTTTGAGTGGATCATCCAAGAATACTCATTCATGTAGGCATTGAAAAAAGGAAAAGCTTAGCAATTGCCTAATAGATCCCAGCAGCTCAGCCTATAGCATTTTTTTTTATCTTTGTAACCATTGGTAAGTGGAGGTATTGTTTTCTCACTTTACAGAAGAGGAGGCTGAGGGCCAGGCAGACTGACTAACTTCCCAAGACCACAGAGCTGGTAAAGTGGCACTTGAACCTGGGCCAGCTAAAGCCTACTCTGTAGGACTGAGGCAAACAGGCAGAGCTTGAATGCCGAGGTGGGCAGGAGCCTACAATTCTTACTGAAATTCAGAATCCAAAAGAGAGTGAAGGAGAGAGAAAGTAGCATGTACTTGGCAGGTACTCAGCAATCTGTATGCATTCCACTGTACGTGCATCATTGACTCATTTCACGACTTTGGTGGAATGCTTAAATGGACCCGGTTCTGGTTGCAGGAAAGATGGTGGGGTGACCCCTGTGTCCCTTAGCAGACCTTGCAGAATGGGCGTTAACATCCCATCATACACATGCACACACCAAGGCTCAAGAGGGTAAATAAATGGTCCAGAGCCACTCACCATGTTGGCTTGACGCCAGAGCAGAAGATCACGGAGCTTATCCTGGAGGAGGTGGGGAGAGAGAAGGATTGTTTTATAACAAGGTAATAGAATTTCATCCTGTTTTCTTCCTCCTTTTCTGTGCAGATGACAGGCAAGCCTCAGTGCCTCCATCCGGCATGCTGCTTAACAGCCACATCTCTGGTGACAGCATGGGAAAGACCCGGTTCTAATTAAGCATCGTCACCCATCACCCTTTCCGGAGGACAGTGGCAAAGACATCGTGCCTCTGTCCCGCACTGTGACCCTTCCTCCGAGGTCCTCACCCCCGAGAGTCCCTGCACTGTCACCAAGATTAATTACCCCTCAACCCCTTTGGATGGGAAAGGAAGTCATTTTATTAAGTTTGATTAAAGCTTCAAGAGACATTGTTGGCTGTTTCAGGACTGCTGACAAAGCATCCTACTTATTTCCTGAAAAGACAAATTATATGCAAGAAGGGCCAAGCCCCGCAGAGGGGTCCTCTTAGCCTCAGACCATCACAGGGTGATGTCCCGCACACAGGCGTGGCCATCGCCCGGCGGGAGTGAAGTCGGCCCTAGCAGGCCTGGAGGCCCCCCTGGGAATCCCTGCCTCACCTTGTGACCGAGCCTCCGTCTCCGGGACTTTTCTTCCAAATCCCCCCTGGACCAGGCGTGATTTCCTCCAGCCCAGCCAGCCCCGGGAGGCGCCCGTCGGACGGCAGAAATGGTGACCATGAGAAAGAGGACTCTCAAAGTGCTCACCCTCCTCGTCCTCTTCATCTTCCTCACCTCCTTCTTCCTGAACTACTCCCACACCATGGTGACCACCACCTGGTTTCCCAAGCAGATGGTCGTCGAGCTCTCGGAGAACTTCAAAAAGTTCATTAAATACACGCACAGGCCTTGCACCTGCGCCCACTGCATCAGCCAGCAGAAGGTGTCGGCCTGGTTCGACGAGAGGTTCAACCGGTCCATGCAGCCGCTGCTGAACATGCAGAACGCGTTCTTGGAGAAGGACACATACAGGTGGTGGCTGGTGAGAGCCGGGGCTGGGGCTGGGGCTGGGCGGGGCGTGGCTGCGGGGGGCGGGCCGGGGGGCCCTGCCAGGTGCCTAGCAGGATTCGGGGTGGTGGCATTCATTCGTTCGTGCAACCACCGTTTATGGAGGGTCCGTGACGTGTAAATCAGAGCAGGGCGTTCTGTATTCGCTTCCCGTGTCTGCCTTAGAGGATTGCCACAAACTGCGTGCCTTAATACAACAGACCCATCACGCCACCTGACCCTCTCCTCTCGGCCTCTCTGCGTCTCCCGTCTCTCTCTGCCTTCTCTGCAAGGCCACCTGTTACTCCGTTCAGGGCTCCCTAAATCCAGGATGATCCCATCTCGAGATGCTTAATAACCGCCGTGAAGACCCTTTCCCACCAGGTCCCGTTCACAGGGAGTTGGGACTTGGACATACTTGTGTGGAGGTTCGTTCCACGCAGTACAGATACCGAGATGCAAAAAAGAGACAAGGTCCTCACTCTCACAGAACTGTGTCCTGGCTGAGAGAGACAGATAAGAAACCAAGAAGACAGGCTCAGGTAGAAATGCCCTGAGGGAGGTCATATGAGGTTTGTGATGGAGAGAGGCTGGGGGCCCGGGGCCTCTGTAAATGGGGTCATCGGGGAAGGTGTCTGCGGAGGCAGGACTTGAGCTAAGACCCAGAGGTAGAGAAGGCACCGGGCATGGAAGGACCCAGAGAACGCGCTACAGGTCACATAGCAGCGAGCATAGGAGCCCTGGGGAGGCGTCCGCTGGGTCTGTTGGAGGGGCGGGGGCCCCGGCAGTGGGCAACCCCCTGGTGGGGCTTCTGGTTGGTTCTTTGTGCAGCAGGAAGCTGCTTTGAATCTGAGGGGAGTCCCATGATCTGATCTAGTGGTTTGAAGGTTATTCCGGTGGTTGAACCCCAAAATGGAGTGAAGGGGAGTAAGAAAGAATTTATTCCTTGCAGATTTATTGAGCACTTACTATATGCCAGGCACCGATATATTGAGATCGAAAAGACAGCCTCCCCTTTCTGGTCTATGGGGTGGCGAGAGAGAAGGAGACAGCCAGCCACACGCCGGGGTGATAGGTGCTGCTTTGGAAGTGGCCCAGGAAGTGCGGAGAACCCAGAGGAGGGGCGCCAGACCTACCTTGGGGCCAGGGCGGGGGCTGTCAGAGAAGGCTTCCCAGAGGAGACTGTGGTGGAGCTCCTCCTAAAGGACCCAGAGAGGTTGTCCCGGCGGGGACCGCAGGAAGGGCTCTCCAGAGGGACCAGTGTGTGTATCGGGCCTGGAGGTGTGAGAAAGGCCTGTGTGGTTGCTGGAGGCGCAGAGCATCATGGCTAAAATCCGAATGTGAGTGAGGGGTGGGGTGTGAGCGATGAGGCCATTGATGTAGCTCATGAGGCTCTCCCTATATCATGTTAAGAAGTTAGAGAGAGTTGCGTGTAGGCTGAGAAAATCAGGGGGGCCTTCCTGCAAGAGGCCGGCTTTCCCAGTCAGCAACTCTTCAAGCAACTCTTGCAATCTGGGAGCTTGCGGTCTTTTTGAACAGCTTGGAAGAGTCTACAGTGACTCAGAAGAAGTGAATCGGAATGTCCGGGCTCAGTCTTGGTTCACTAAGCTGTGTTGAGCACCTCAGGGTGCAGGTCCTGGGGTGGTCCTGGGGAGGTGACAGAGAACAGAACAGGCAGGGTCTCACCCCCTCGAAGATTCCAGTGTCTGCTAAAGGAGGCAGCGGACCAGGCTTGACAAGGATTAGGGCAGGGTTTCAAACTCGCACTCGTGACAGTTGAGGTTGGATACATCTTTGTTTCTGGGACTGTCCTGCACATCGTAAGATGTTTAGCAGCATCCATCCCTGGTCTCTACCCATGAGATGCCGGAGTCTCCCACCCCTCAGCTGTGAGAACCAGAATGTCTCCAGATATTGCCAGTTGACCCTGGCAGGAGGGGACAGGGGGTGCAGAATTGCCCCCATAACCACGGGGGGAGGGAAGCAAAAACTCGGAAAAGAAAGTGACTTGCTCCAAACAGCATGTCCCATTCAGCCCCTGGAAGTAGTGATGAGAAACTTCTAGAGTGGGTAGCCAGGACGACTTCATCTACTTCCTTCCTGAAGGTCCTCGGGGAGGGCAGTTTCTAAAACTCTCAGGTTGGCTTAGCCCAGGATGGATAAAAAGGTACAAGAAAAAAAACAAGAAACAAAAAAACTCGGTTTCTTGCTATAACCTGTGTATCTTCGCAGGACCTGCTCTGTGCCTTCTAGACTTAGGAATTAGGATGTGGCATCATGGTCCCTGGGTTTTGCTCCTGATTTTCTAGGTCTTATCAAGAGTGCTTCTGAGGTACCTCTTCGTCTGGCTGAGTCCTCAGATTGAGGATCTAACAGCCGCCTCACCAGCTTCTCTACGACACTGCAAACATTAGGTTTTAACACTTGTATTTATTTTTGCTGGCTGAATGGGCAAGTAATAATGAATGTGCTTCCCCCCTCCCAGCGCTTATCAAGGCTGAACAAAAATTTTTCCAAGTGACTGTTGGTATTTTATCAAGTTTTCTCCCATGTCCCCAGCCCCAGCCCTTATCTGCAGCCCTTCTTCAGAGCCCTGGGGTAGAGCAGACAGCTAGAGTCCCTGTTCTCCCACTTAGTCTGTGCGAGGGAGGCCCCAGACCAGTGAAGACTGCATCGATGCGGAGCCCGACCTGGAACTCGGCCGCCTGTCCCAACACCCCTGCCTTCCCTTCCCCTTGCCCACGGCTGCTCATCTGCTCCATGGACGGGAGGCCAGGACTGGGTGGATCAGAGAAGGAGCGGTGGGAAGCTGGAGGCTAAGGGACTGAGGTGCCTTGGGAATGGCAAAGCACCTGGTGAGTGCAGCATTAGGGTGCTGACTCCATTGTCCCCCTGGGCACGGCCCCCACCCACACCCATCTGATCCTGATGAGAAGCCCTTGGCAGAGCCAGGCCCACAGACCCTTCATGCCTCCTTCCCCAGGAAACAGGGGTGTATGTGACAGGCCGGCCAGCTGAGCCAGGAGGAGTCTGAGGCCAGAACTGTGGGGTCCCGAGCTCCCACCCCGCCTCTGAGCTTCAAGGTCGCCATCAATGGGCATCGCAATCCCAGCAGGCGAAGGAGACAAGGCAGGTGTGAGACAGGGCAGGTGTAAGCTCCGGCGGGAGCAGGAAGACAGGAGCGATCACACGGGGCCACCCCCACCCCGCCCTCAGTCAGCCTGCAGACCCTGTGGCCCTCTCCTCCCGCCTGCGTCCCAGTCACCAGGACAAGGGTCCCCTCTGCCCCGGCCTCATTTCCGCACACTGTTGGACCCGCCCACGGGAGACAGCTTCCTGCCCCAAGCATCGTGCTCAGTGCACAAAAGACAATCATACGCCCGTCCGATGCCAAGTGCCACTCTGGCCAGGCCCCAGGCCGAACTTGCCAGGCAGTGCCCTCCCGCCCCCCGCCTTCAGCACACCCTGTGAGGACACCTTGCCTCCGTTTCTCACTTGTCAGGCCCGCCTCATTGGTGAGGGGCACAGTCGGATTACATTCTAGTTCAAGGACGAGCTCTGCAGTCAGGTCGGGGTGTTCAGGCTATCTTGGGGGCTCTGGGCCATCCACTCCACCTCGCTGAACCTCAGTTTGCTCAGCTGTAAAATGGGTACCTCATACGCCCTTGCTCATAGGACGGTTACGGGGAGTAATGAGGAAATGCCTGTGAAGTCCTTCGCGCGGGGCCTGGTATACAAGCACTTAACACACACTGCTGCCTGTGACGAGCGTTCCCAGGCCGGCACGCCTGCCTGCTCTCACTTGCCCTCCGCACGCGGCATCTAGCACACGACGGGGGCTCCGCAGCGATGGGTCCGGTGGACGTGTGGATGCGTGTCAGCCGTGGCAGAGGTCATTCACTCACTCAGCACACGGAGCAGGTGTTGTCTGTCAGTGTGCTTGCTGCTCGGATGCTTGGGGCCGGACAGACAAGCCCACGGCAGCTGCCGATTACACTACGCCCGTGGCCAGGGACCTGCGTGCCAAGCACATGCATAAGGCAAAGACCAGTATTTTGGGGGGATTGTGGGAGGTGCCGCATGGTGAGCTGGACATGGAAGGAAGAGCAGGGTTCACTGGGCGGAGCAGAGAGGAAGGGTGGGAGGAGGGGGTACCTCTTTCCAACACAGGGGTTTGAGACGGCGGGTACAGAAGGCCAGACGTCCTGCCTCCAGGCTGGAGAGCCTGGGCCACAGTTCACACCCCCAAGCTCCCCATGCCATCAGGCAGAAGTGCAGGAGGAGTGAGTGAGGCTCTCCCCATCTGTGCCCTGAGTGTGTGTCCCGGACGTGCGCCTCCCTGGCCCCCGCCCGCTGAAGTGGACTGTGCCGTGGAGCCCGTGTCTCCCGCCCTCCCTCGCTGCGGCCAGCGCCCGCCCCACACACCTGTATCCCTGACTCCAGCCTCCGCTTGCCGGCCCTGCCGGAGGTCCCGGTGCAGCCTCAAGGAGCCCTAACCCCCAGTAGGCAAGCACTTGTGGAGTGCTGACCGAGAAGGATACTTGGAAGCTCCTCCTTGGAAGAGTGAGAGGGGCAGGATGTCTTTGAACTTCTCAACATGCCCTCCTGTGTGTGAGTTAGCAGCCTGGTGGTCCTTTTGCTGTCACTTACAAGAGCCAGGGACATCGGAGTACCCCTTCCCAAGGAGGACAGGCACAGGGACACAGATCAGCACTGAGTGCCCTGCCCCGTCTGACCCAGCGGGCAGGTGCGCGAGTTAGGATTCTAACCTGCAGAAGCACAGCTCGGCTTTCCCACCCAAGCTCTTGCCAGCTCCGCCCGCGCCCGATGGCCTAGCCCTTCTCCTCCCTGGGCCTCGGTCTCCACTCCTGACGGCGAAGCACTATAACAGGTCCGAAATCGCCGACGTGGAACCACACGCCGCCCGGGGCTAAGGTAATGGCGGGGCTGGGCGTTCAAGAACCGCACATCCCAGTGCGAGGACTGGAGGCCTTGGTGATTCTCTGGCTGTGTTTGCGGGTGCAAGGACTTTAATCCGGCCCGATGTTTGGTTATGCGCTTCTCCAGCCCCGTGCCCGTCTTCCTTCTAACGAAGCGTGGGCAGCGTGCCCGGGCCAGCCCCAGTATGAGTGGGAATAAAATAACGTTGTCCTGTTTCCATGGTTGGGTGCGATTACTTTTTTTACTTCCGCCAAGTAATCCTTGCCTTCCACTTGTGGCAGGGATGTGAGATTTCCTTTGAAAATGAACTTACTTTTTTTTTCCTTCTCTGAAATGAGCCATGAAAAAAGAGTTCAGTCAGTCAGAACCGGGTGAAGACATTGCCTGTGCTGTGCTCCCAAGTCACGTCTCCTGGGGCCTCAAGACTTCAAACCATGGGGACGTCCGTGGAGGGGCCTGCAGGAGAGCGTGGCGGGGGCCCTCCACCCACACCAGCAGCAGCATCGCCTGGGAACCTGTTGGAAGTGCAGGATCTTGGGTTCAGCCCAGCCCTATTGAGTCAGGCTCTTTGAGTTAGCAAGGTCCTGGGTGACCGCCTATCCGGGAGCTTGGAGCTGCCCCGGGAGATCTTATCGCAAGCAGGTGTTTAATCTGGGGATTGTTAGGTTTTATTGTGTTGAAATGTACATAACATAATTACCATCGGAACCATTCATAAGTGTACAGTTTATCGGCATTGAGGATACTCACTCCGTTGTGTCACCAACACCACCCTCTAGAGCCAGCAGTTTTTCATTGTGCCCCCAAACCCTGCCCCCGTTCAGCGCGAACTCCCCTCACCCCTCCCTCGGACCCTGGCAACTAGCTGCCTTTCTACCTTCTGTCTCTATGAATTGGCTCCCCTAGGGGACCTCATATAGTGGAATCCTACAATATTTGTCCTGTGTCTGGCTTAGGTCACTAAGTGTGTTTCTAAAGCCCAGCTCTTCTTCTCTTTTTTTAAAGATTTTATGCATTTGAGAGAGAGAGAAATCACGAGTGGAGGGAGGGGCAGAGGGAGAGGGAGAAGCATAGGCTCCCCGCTGAGCAGGGAGCCTGACGCGGGCCTCGATCCCAAGACCCTGAATTCCCTTCTTTTTTATGACTGCATGACATTCCACCCTTGTTTCATACGCTCACCTGCCCGGGGACGTGTGGGTCGCTTCCACCTTCTGGCTCCGGCAACTAATGCAGCTATGGACATTGGTGTGCGAGACTGTGCGTGACCCTCAGTCCTTCCGAGTGCATCCCTGGGAACGGAAGCGCTGCCTTTTGTGGGCATTCTGTGTGTGTTCTCCATGGAGGCCACACCATTTTCCGTGCCCACAAGCAATGCACGAGGGAGCCACTTTCTCTGCATCCTCTCCAACACTTGTTCTTTCTTTCTCTCTCTTTTTTATTTATTATAACCCTCCCGGGGGGTGTCCTGAGTGGTCCAGATGTCGCTGCTCATGGGTCTCCCATGGCATGTTGGAGGAGACGCTGAAGGTTTTAACTAAAGGAGCCACACTCCTGGGGGGCCTCTCCTTTGGAGATCTGATTCCTCCTGTCTCAGGGCGGGGGGCTGCATGCCTCTGGATCTCCGCATATACCCCTCACAAATCTCTTAGACAATGGCCACAGTGAGCTCTAACCTTCCTTTCCCAGATACTGCCCTGGGCCTGGGGCTGGGAGAGGCTGGTGGGACTCACCCCACAGCCACTTCTCCCCCCCACCCCCGCCAACCCACCCCCTCCCCAGGCCCTGCAGCCCCAGGGACTGGGCTTTCTGAAGGTCCAGGTTCCAAGGGTCTGAGACGGGCAGTATTGTGGGAGAGAATTTTCAGTGGGTTTCTGAAAGCCTGGGTTCAAATCTTGGTTTGGATGTGGGACACGTGGTTCAACCAGTCTGGGCCCCACGGCGTCCTTCTCGTCTACAGTTCAAATGTGGTGTGGTATGCACTGCGGCTGGTGACAGGGTCAGAGGTGATACTGCTTAGGAAATGTCTCCAGGTTTTACCATGAGTGAGGAAGTCAGAAGTCTGGAGCTCAGTCTTAGAGAATGAAAACAATTTGCTAGGCAGATGTCAGAAGCCTTGATGCATCTAGCAAAGGGCTGGTTTTTTGGCCTTGCTGGAGCCCAGTGGTCCCCGGGGGGTGGGCAGGAGGATGAAGGGAGCCGAGGCCGGGGAGGTGGCCTTGGAGGGTCACCTGTCCCTTTTCCTCTCACCCAGTGTCATTAGCGAGCACACAGTAGGTGCTCAGAAAGCATTTGCAGAATGAGGAGGTGATCTCTTTCCCATCTCCTTGAGCGGCCCCCGGGCTTCGGGAGGGAGAAGTGGCTGTCTGAGCCTCCTCGGTCCGTCTCCAGGTGCCCAGCAGAGAGGGGCCCCATGAGCACAAGTGGGGAGCTCGGGGCCCAGCACGGGGGCGGCTGAGCGGCCCCGGCCAGAGGCAGCACAGCTGGGCTGACCTTTCTCCTTCCGTCCTCGGCCCACAGAGGCTCCAGCGGGAGAAGCAACCCAATAACCTGAACGATACCATCAGGGAGCTGTTCCAGGTGGTGCCCGGGAATGTGGACCCCCTGCTGGAGAAGAGGTCGGTGGGCTGCCGGCGATGTGCTGTGGTGGGCAACTCCGGCAACCTGAGGGAGTCCTGGTATGGGCCTCAGATCGACAGGCACGACTTCGTGCTGAGGTGAGTGCCCGGCCCCTCCGAGGCACCTTGGCTCAGGGCCAGGAGGTCAAGACCCTGTGCTAGCACGCCCAGACTTCCCCGCAGACTCCAGGCCCCGCCACGACCCCCCGTGGGCCTCAGTTTCCCCAACTGTGCCTTGTAGGAAGGAGGCCGACCAGCCGTGCCTCTCTGGACCCCGATGGGAAATCCTACACGGGAGGGAGCCAGCGGGGCCGGAGCTCGGCACAGAGCGGCCTGGCGAGAGGGCAAGATTTCTTTGAAGACTGGTTTAATCTTTAAAATTCGGCCCCATTTTGCAATCGAGGCCATAGTAAAACTATATGCTTTTAACGTAAATACGTTTCCCTGTCACCCAATAAAATAGATCCTCCGGGAAGCTGGGTATCCTCGGTTTCTTGTCATCTCCCCCCGCCCCCCGACTGTTCACTTGGCAGTGGGACTGCTGTTCCCCAGGCGCCTTCTGGAGTAGTCTCCTGTTCCTGTGATCTCTGCATTTATGTCCTCAGACCACACGCCTGGCTTCTCGGAGCCTCGGTGTACCTGGCGTGCAGCAGGAATGTCCGTGGTGGGGGGAGAGGTGTCAGGCTCTGGATCAGACAGACCTGAGTTCAAGGCTGCCACCCACTAGCTCTGTGTCCCGGGACAAACCCTCTGCGTTCAGATTTCTTCCCTCATGAAATAGGACCACAGAATACCTCCCGGGCACGGTTGTCATTAAGGTGCAAGGCGCTGCGTTACTCGGCCAGGATGGTGCTTTGTACACGGTAGGTCAGCCGTGACAATGGCCGGACTCACTCGAGATCGAGAAAGAGAAAGTAGCAAAAGCTTTCTGGCTGCGTCTTAATCATCCCCATTTCCCAGCTGAGGGAGCTGGGGCCCAGAAGCAGCGCCCACGTGATGCGATGCGTTTCCCTCTGTCCCTTCTCCCCCAGGATGAACAAGGCCCCCACGGCGGGCTTTGAGATGGACGTCGGGAGCAAGACCACGCACCATCTGGTGTACCCCGAGAGCTTCAGGGAGCTGGCGGAGAACGTCAGCATGGTCCTGGTCCCCTTCAAGACCACCGACCTGGAGTGGGTGGTCAGTGCCACCTCCACGGGCACGATCTCTCAGTGAGTGCCCCCCGGGGCAGGGGGGGGAATGTTGGGGGTGGAGAGGCCATTGCCCCACCCCCTCACTGATCCTCCATGCCCCCCACCATGCTGTTCCCCCCACCATGCTGTTCCCACACCAGAACGCCTCCCCTGCCAGACGACTTCCTTCTGGAATGCACCAGCCCCGCGGGCCCCCTCCCGCAGGATCGGGAGAGTGAAGTGCCCCCATTAGATCTAACTAAGGCCAGATGGCCGGGCATTTGCACCTTCATCTTGGGGCACACATAACCTTGTAGATGGAAAGGGGGACTTTGTGGGGCTCATCATTCAGTGCCTCAGCAGTGAGCTGTGCTCCTTCAGCCTCCTTCGGGCTTGCTCGGAGCAAGTCCCCTGGTCTTTTTTTTTTTTTTTTCAGAGTTTTGTGGTTTTTTTTTTTTTTTTAAAAGATTTTATTTATTTGACAGAGAGACACAGCGAGAGAGGGAACACAAGCAGAGGGAGTGGGAGAGGGAGAAGCAGGCTTCCCACGGAGCAGGGAGCCCGATGTGGGGCTCGATGTGGGGCTCGATGTGGGGCTCGATGTGGGGCTCGATGTGGGGCTCGATGTGGGGCTCGATGTGGGGCTCGATGTGGGGCTCGATCCCAGGACCCTGGGATCATGACCTGAGCCGAAGGCAGACGCTTAACGACTGAGCCACCCAGGCGCCCCGCAAGTCCCCTGGTCCTAAGCTTTGTAGGGGGAAAGCGGCATTTAAAAAGCATTCTCGAATTAGCCAGGAGCGCCCTCTGGTGTCCATACTGGGCCACTGCTACAGGAGCACGGGGCTGTGGCAGGGAGGGGGCGTCCCTACCGCCCTCTCCCTCTCCAGGGTCCATCCCCAGAGCTGCATGCAGGCAGCCCGGCCCCCTCGCCACATTAACCACCTGCTCTTTCTCCTCCTGCAGCACCTATGTTCCTGTCCCCGCAAAGATCAAAGTGAAAAAGAATAAGGTAAGTCGAGGCTTAGGCCCTTGTCCTCTGAGCTGAGGCTCAGTTTGATGACAGAAAGCCCCGTCTCCCCTCTGCCAGCAACCCGGGTGCAGAGAGCCCTTGGGGTCCCTGGGCTGCTAGAGGCCAGAGCCCCTACGCAGCTTCCCTGCTCGACAGACTGACCCTGGCAAAGTTTCTCCACGTGGGACCCCGGCCCAGCAGCATCCCTGGGATACGGTCCTAGATGCAGACACTCAGGCCCACCCCAGACCTACTGCGTCAGAAACTCTGGGGGGAGGGGACGGCCCAGCGGCCTGGGCTTCTACCGGCCCTCCGGGGATGCTGATGTGGGCTGCAGTGTGAGAACTGGTGCTGTTCGGTGTGAGCCTCTCAAAGCCAGACCTCACCTCCTGCCCCCCGTCTCCATCTTCCCCAGTGGGCCCCCGGAATGGGGTTGGCCAAGACATGGGCCAAGGGCAGAAGATGCAAGAGGTGACGTGTCCACCACACTGGTCCTTTGCACACACTATGAGATCAGGGTCAGAGAGGTCAAGGGACTGGCTCAGGAACACACGGCCCGTTCATGGTGTGTCTGGAACTGGAGCGCTCCAGCACCTGCCCTTCGCACTGGGGTGCAGCGCCCAGGGGAGAAGCCACATGGGAATCCCTGGAGGGCTGAGTGGGTAGAGGGGAGAGCCTCCCGGCCAGTGGCTCAAGGCCAGGCTGAGAGATGAACGGTTCAGCAGAGACCTCATGGTCCTCTGCTCCAGTCTATTCCCGGGGGCTGGCGTTGGGCCTCCTGGACCTGCATGCACACCCTCTACTGCCTGAGAAGCCCCTTCGCTGTCCTCAAGGCGGGGGGAGGGGGCAGTCAAGGGCGGGTCTGCTACCAGACAGCCTGGCTGTGTGACGCTGGGCACCTCGCTTAGCCTCTCTGAGCTCAGTTTCCTCATCTGTAACACGAGGAGGGGGACGGCTAGCACGTAGCCCATCGCTGCCGAGCGGGTGTCCCCATGCCTGTGTTTCCTGCAGTGTCACAAGGATGTCCCCAGCCCCAACTCATACTGTTCCCTGGAACCTCCCTGGCCTGACAGGCATGCGACTCGGATGTCTCCTTCTCCCGAGGCTTCTCCCCTCCAGTTTTACTGCCTGTCTGCTTAAGTTCTCTCCACGTTCCCATAATGGCTGTGGTTCGGCATCCTCTCGCCCCGTGGTTAGGCTGCTGCCCGTCCTCCCCACTAAACGTCAGGCCCATGCGGGCAGGGGCGCCGGTCCTGTGCGCTGCTCCGTCCCCCGAGGCCACGACAGTGGGGGGCACCCCGCAGGTGCTCGGGGCCCTTGGCAGCGGCTCACGAAGGGCTGGGTCCTCCTCCTGCAGATCCTGATCTACCACCCGGCCTTCATCAAGTACGTCTTCGACAGCTGGCTGCAGGGCCACGGGCGGTACCCATCCACAGGCATCCTTTCCATCATCTTCTCGCTACACATCTGCGATGAGGTACGCCAGCCTCGTCCCCGTGCCCACCGGGCCGCCCGCGAGGGCTCCTCCTGCCACGTCTCCCAGAGCGTAGTGTGAGCGTCTGCCGTGGCATCGGGCGGACCTCCTCCGCCCCCCCTCCCCCGGGGCCCCGACATGGGTCTTGCTGCGGAAGCTCCGAGTGCTGGTCTCTATGCTGGCGCTTGCAGTGCGTCTCTGTGCTACTCTCAGAGTGGGCGGCAAGGAGTAGCGATGTTCTCGGGAGCAAGAGTCCCCGCTCCCTCCGTGCGGGCCCCCAGGCAGAGTCAGAACCAGTGGGTGGAAGCTCAGGAGGGGCGGGGTGGGGGGCAGAATCACGGAGCAGATCCTAATAGGGGCAGCTGTGGTTTCAATCTCGGCCCCTCCTTAGAATCGTCCCCGGAGCTAAATCCCAGCGCCCAGACCACGCCCAGGCCCACGTTCACCAGAACGTGGGAACCAGGCACCCAGGGGTCCCGGTGTTCCCAAGGTGGAGAACCAGTGATCTTGCCAAGCGTCTTCGTGTTCCCCTTCGTGGACTTGCCTGACCGTCCTCCAGGCTGTGCCCGCGTCTCCATCAGTGATGTGGGGGGCTCGCTGCAGCCCCGGGCAGAGAAGCAGCAGGGGCCACGGCACCCCCACACTTCCTCCCCGGCCCCGCGTCAGGCAGAGCCATTGAATGTGCCTTCGGGTCACACACAGCTGCCCCCCCCACCACCAGCCCGCCTGGCCCCTGGGTGACATCCCAGGGAGGGTTGTTCTGTCACCATCCCCCAGCCCCCACCCCGCAGGGCCACCGAGAACCTGGTGTCTCTGCCAGAAGCCGCATCCCCCTCTTATCTCCCCTGGCTCCCTCAGAAATGCTACTCTCGTCTCTTCGCCCCTGTTGGGGGGCTGTGGTCCTGCTGGCGTTCCAGACAAAGCTGCACTTGCCACAGAGCTGTCTCCGGCCCCCACCCCCAAATCTGCCCTCCACACTGCAGCCCAGAGAGCAGCTCCTCTCCCTGGGGGGCCCTCGAATATTCCTTCCTGGACATCTTTAGCTCACCTCCCGAGACCCAATTCAAATGACACTTACTCTCCTAGATCCCTTGAGTCCTTGGCCCTGCCTTCCTCTGTGTGCGGGAGCCCTGAGGTTAGCCCCCGTCCCTCACTGGTGCTCATGGTCATTCACGGGCTCCGAGGTCTGACAGCTGACTCCTGTGTCCCTAATTTCTCCGGCACCCACGCAGGTGGCCCCGATGAAGTTCTGCTTGAACTCTGATGTATTTAGCGCAGTGCTCAGCACAGAATAAGGACTTAGTAAATGCTTGTCATGTGTCGGAAAGCCCTCCCAGCCCGGCCACTGGCCAGTGAGAGCCCCTGGACCACGTGGAAATTAGCCTCAGGGGAAAAAAAAGATCAGCTCCTACCACCTGCCTCAATGTGGTAGTTCCTTTTGGCCCCATTTTCCAGGTGAGGGAAGTGAGGCTCAGAGCAGGGGTTTGGCAGTCCCAGGCTCTACCAGCAGGTGGCAGAGCTGGGAGCCCTGCTCTCAACCCCGCTCTCCTCCCCCCTCCACAGGCCTTGGAGAGGAGGTTCTCCTGCCCCACCTCCCTCAGGGCCTCCCATTGTGCCTTCTGGCATTCAACTTGACTTTCACATAACTTGCTTTTGCTGCACGAAACCCCTGGGAGGTCCAGTAAGGAACTAGAAGGGTTCATAGGGAGAAAGGCTTATATGAATCTTCAGACATGGTGTTTGCAGATTCGAGGGTTAACCTGCAGGTGGCCCCGCCCTCTGGATCTGACCTGTGCTTTGCCCCCGCAGGTGGACTTGTATGGCTTCGGGGCAGACAGTAAGGGGAACTGGCATCACTATTGGGAGAACAACCCATCGGCGGGGGCTTTTCGCAAGACCGGGGTGCACGATGGAGACTTTGAGTCCAACGTGACGGCCACCTTGGCGTCCATCAATAAAATCCGGATATTTAAGGGGAGATGACGCTGCCAAGGAGCCCCAGAGCCCGCCTGTCCGTGGCCAGCCCCAGCCTCTCGCTGGAGCTGTTCTGACCCGGGAACTTTGAGGGCCGGTCTCGGGGGTGTGTTCAGGTGCCCCTCGCGGCCTCTTGCACCCCAGCATTTGGCAGCATCTACTCAGCAGGGCTTCCAAGCCCTGCCGGCTCTGCAGAGCGAGTGTCAGAACTGGCCTTGGATGGGGAGACCCCCCTCAGTGCTGTCCTGCAGCTGGGGGAAGGTGGGGAGATGCGGGGGAGATCCAGTCTCCAAACGCTGGAATCATTTTGGCTTCTGGGGAGGGGGCAGATACTGAAGACTCTGTGTTCCCAAGTGAAGGACAGTTTCTCAGGGAGGATGGGCAGAGACCTTCCTTTTCCCCGGGGGTCCGGGGCTGCTGACTCCCAGACTCTGACTCTTGCTGGGATCTTTCTGAGTGAGGAGGACTTCAGGACAGAGCCCCTTTGGACCACGTGGACACCGGGGCGAGATGGCACCTATCTTTGCACGCTGCCTGGCCCCTCCCTCACTTGGCATGACAACCCGCCCCCCACCCCTCTGTCTTCCCAAAGCTCATTTCTGGTGGCCAGGAAAGGCTCCCCAGCCCGAAGGTCTTCATAGACACTTGGCAAAGAATTTTGGACTCCAGCGGATGTCTTCTTCCCAAGCTGATGTCTCCTTGAGTCATCGATGTTGGTGGCGATCATTACGGCTGAGAGCAGATCTGACTACTTCCATGTGCCTTTGTGTTTGGGGGAGAAATGTGTGCATTGGCTGAAATAAGGCAAAAGCCTTGACTCGGGAATGGGGGGGACCCCCGGCATCATACCCCCTTGCTCTAGAGCTGGGGACATCTTTTCTAGCTTCCTGAGGCAGTGCCTGAGCTGGGACAAAGCTAGGATGATACTCAACGCTGTCCAGAGGCGCATCAGCTGGGGAACGTCACTCTCATGTTCACAGACTATTGGATTTGGTGCCCATGACCTTCCAAGGCCACACCCAGAACCTCCACCAGCCAGCACTTTCTCCAGGAGCCCACGCTCTGGGCCAAGTCCCTACTGGCCACCGGCACAGTGTCCTGGGGGCTGCAGGGCCATCCCAGGAACATGACCTTCAGAGCGGGAGAAGACATACCTCATCCTCTCTCTCCCAGGCTGCTCTGATTCATCCTCATCAGCCTACCTGATTATTTATTGATTGATTGATTGATTTTTTTTTTTTTTT